TGATCAGAGAGAGTGGTTTGGACATTTGTACAGAAATACTTAGGAGTGATCAAATTTAATTTCGCGCCTCTGAATGTTTTGGAAAAAGTTATGTGAGCTGACTGTTTGAGTCACATACAGATTCATAGCATTAATAAAAAAATACTAGTTATTTTCTAAAAGATTTGAATGAAAACTTACATTTGTGCTTCAAGAATTTGGGTTTTCTCCTCAGAAACCAAACCTAATATTTCAGAAAAAAAAATCGAAAGCAGTGTGAATATTTTTCAATTCATACGATATCGAGTTAGCGTGTAGAATTCTGGGAATTAATTTTTAAATTACCTATAAGATGGCGCCACATTTAGATTTGTATATTTATACAATCCCCATATATTTTGATTACCATATCCATAACGTGAAGTTATGTGCTAATTGTTTTGATGTTTGTTTTTGTTTCATTTTTGATTTAACTTAATATATTTTGGCTAGAAGTAAACCAAGGAGGATAAAATGTTGGAATAAAATCCCATTTGATTACAGATGTATCTATCATCTCTCCCACCGTTCCGTTAGTCTTCTCCTCTCATTTCGTAGTTGTCAACATATTTGTAACAATTAGTGAGTGGCTATATTGACTGAGTATCGTATGACAGACACAAGTTAGAATTTGACAGTAACAAATGCGTAATCGATTTGCTGTTATTTTTGGTCAACACGAGGCACTCAGAAATGAGATCCGTGTATGTAACCCATCTCAACAGCGAAAGGACCTCATAACGTCCTCTGGTGGAAAATTATTGCACCATACCAATCCAGAGCTAATAACAAAGTAGAAATAGCATGCTACAACAGTTTATATGCCACTGCTGTGAAAAGAGCCAGTTTTATAATGAATCTATTGCACTGGATGCTATAGCTGTTGAAGAACATGAAACCTGGAGTGTCTCTATCCTGACGCTAGAATAAATATACAGCACAAGATAGAGACGGCACTTGCGTAACTGATGTAGGAGACGTCATTACAAGACATATGAAATATTTGCCATTTGCTGCTTTATAGGTGTAATTACTCTTCCCTTGTCGGCTGTATATCACTGAACTCTTTAATTGAAGGTTGGCCCTAACAAGAATTTTACAGCATATCCTGCTATTAAGATTCATACTGGACCAATAAGACCGTGAAATATACATGAAGAATATGGTCATAACCAACTGACATACGAGTTGTCCAAACACATAGATCGATGTAGTAAAACATATAAAACTGTGCTGTGTACTGTTTACCATAGTATATGTACACATAAATGTATGCCTGACTCTGTGTGAATGTATGTGCAGCAAGAAGGAATGAACTGGAGCGTGTCATAGGCGCCCCCCTTCCTGACACGGCCAAAATTTCCCACAGTACTTAGCGGTTTATTACGTCCAGTAGCCTCTGAAGACATAACTAATAAATTATAGTTATAGCTACTTTGTCTCATCAGAATACGTCCTTTGGTTAATGGTACTAATTTAGCAAACCTGCAAGAATATAAACTATACAGAACGATGTCGTGTTCTTCTAAAAACGTCGTAATGCTGCAAAATTTGTGTTTTAGGAATAGTGTCATAAAGTCGTAAACATAAACTCCTGATACAAAGCAGAAAATAACAAAGATTGGCAAGAATAAAAAGAAATGTCTGTTAAATTACTGCTATGATTCCATAATGAAATGTATTCTCAGGTACGAGGTATGAATAATTCAGGTATAAATTATTTTTATTAAATTCCATGGAATAAGCCCGCGCTCTCTGGAGAAGGATGCTGAATCTTATTTTTTGGCATTATAGTTCTTATATATATATATATATATATAAACTTTATTAATTTTTAAGCACAAACACTCAAGTCAGCTTGAAATACGTACAAATACATCTACAAACTTGAGTAAGCACAGCACTCCCCCTGGTGTCGGAGTCTTGAGTTAAGATACCTTTGAAAACCATACCGAATTGTATTTATCTATTGAAAGTTTATGTTAATAATATCAAAATATAGGTGTTTAAATACCCTTAGTTTTGTCAACACGGAAAATCAGGTGTTGAGAAAATGTGGACATCAACTTTCACCAACTACTTTAATAACGTTACCGTTTCTATTTACAATTTTGGCCACACTACCTATGTTTTATGTTAATAATATCAAAATATAGGTGTTTAAATGCCCTTAGTTTTGTCAACACGGAAAATCAGGTGTTGAGAAAATGTGGACATCAACTTTTACCAACTACTTTAATAACGTTACCGTTTCTATTTACAATTTTGGCCACACTATCTATGTTTATGTTAAAGTGCGATCTCACATCCAATTTTAGAGTCTCTAAGTGTCTTTTTTCTATACAGGCGACCATTTGGACAAGGCGTCATTGCTCCACAATGGCTATAACCAGCATATGGTGGCACAAGCTGCAGCAGTGGCTGCCGCAGCGGCAGCGGCGACAGGAGCCCCCCCACACATCAATCCATTGCCATTTATGGCATTAAACCATCAGGTATCGCACCACAGCATGATTCCTAGCACAATGTCTCCATCCCTCTCAGTTCCATCTAGTCATTCTCATCTCCATGGACTTTCTCACCGAAGTGATGGCGCTGGCGTCAAAGATAGAACCGGACATGGATCGGACATTCACTCTTCGAACAGGTCAGTTTAAAGTTTTTTTTTTAAATTTTGAAAAAGGTTAGGTTAGGTCGTAGTTTAGCATATTGGGTTTGTTTGTTTGCTTCAGAAGGCAGCTAGTCAACAGAACCCACCGCCATCTTTAAGACAGCCTCTTTTTTGACTAAATAGTGGGATTTGACTCTCATTTTTATAACGCGTCTATAGCCCCAAAATGCGGACCATGTTTTTACGGTGGTGAGACACGAACCGTAAATCCTCTGATTCACAATCCGAGCACGATAACCGCTTGCCTAGGCTAAGAAGAATACCGAGAGAGTTCTTTTTGACCACTGAATATCGTAAAAAAATATATAAAACACTAAAAAAAGTTGTTTTTTAAATATTCGACTTAAGTAGTACTAACAAATATCCAAGAGTCAAAGACGCTCAGCCTAGTCTTGCCACATTTCACATGTATAATTACAGCTTTTAAAACTCTTTATTTTGATAGGGAAGGGGGCGATAATCTGTGTTAATGTGCTTTTAGTTACACACGCACATATATATAATTAGATAGCGAACGTTATATTAACTCGAAGAGACTAATTCATTTTCTAACATGCGAGTATTAGATTGCCTTACCCGCCCATTGTATCTGTGGCATCAGATGTCGCTATTGGTGTCCATATGCTCGGTGTCAACTTCCTTGTTATCCTATTCTTTCAAGCAAATTCTGCACGGCTTTCTATACATGTGTACGTAGCTCTTTTATGTTGATCGAGACACGCCCAGAGTAATTGTGAAGGGATACTTTCTGGTTGGAATGAAACGTGATTGAAGAAAAAAGTCTAACGAAAACCCTCATTAGGCCTAATTACGGTTAGAAGAAAAGCCGACTTTGTAAGGTTTAAGGAAACATTTATATTGATTACTACAGTTAGAAACGAAAATAAGATGTCTTTATTCGTGTTCTGAAAAGTTTAATATTATCATGAATTGGACCAGTAGTTTAATAATTGTGTGAAAACATGCGTGTTTGTGTATGTAACGATAATTACAGACCCAATTTAGGAAAAATCAAATAACATACCAGTCATCCAGTTCTTCAAATTAAGCTAAATCCCGTTGAGTGTTATTGGTTACACTCTAGTATGATATGAATGTTAAAAGAAGTAAAAATGTTTACCTAATAATTGTTTCGTCCGAAACGCTATAGTTCTCGAGTTGATAAACATCTTCTAAAGTAAGTCCGCTACGTGTGGAAGTAACATTAATTTAAAACCAGTACTTAGGTTTATTAGATTAGATTTCTAGAGCAATTTATATGGAATGAGTTGTGATGTTATTCGTCTTTTTATACTAGTCACATAAAAACTGTAAGTTTTAAAATACTTTTTTGACGTTTCTTATAACTGCGAAACGTATATACACTCTTTCTAAAGGTTACACAAAATGAACACCAAGTTTGTTCTGCGCCATCTTAAGGAAATTACGCTTATACCTCTAGGTCATACTTACGCTCCCCTTGCGCCTTCTTAAGGAAATTACGTTTATAACTCTAGGTCATACTTACGCTCCCCTTGCGCCTTCTTAAGGAAATTATGTTTATAACTCTAGGTCATACCTACGCTCCCCTTGCGCCTTCTTAAGGAAATTACGTTTATAACTCTAGGTCATACTTACGCTCCCCTTGCGCCTTCTTAAGGAAATTATGTTTATAACTCTAGGTCATACTTACGCTTCACTTGCGCCTTCTTAAGGAAATTACTTTAGGTCATACTTACGCTCCCCTGATACAAGTTTTCATATTGAGTGAGGTCCTGTTAGCGCCCTCTGGTAGCATATAAAATTTATGCATCGGTAACTTTAGATTTTATCAAAAATCATAATTTATATAATGAACCTTTTTTTATTGTTCATTCTATAAGCTACATTTATAATTTTAGTGCATGAACCTTAAGTTATATTTAAGTTCTCTGGTGCTAGATGTTTAAATTTATATTGTATTTAACTTCCTGCGGAACATCTTTTAAAACAAATTCCAGGTCCTATGTATTTCATTATATGTAAAGAAATGAAGTTAGGCCTACTAAGAAACTGCTAAATATTTTTTCTTAACAACTCGATATAAGGTTGTCGTTGCACAACTGAACAGATATTTTAACAAACCATGCGAGTTATCTTTGCTTCTATACGGTTAAACAATACCACAAGAGGGCGTGATCATAGCTAAATTCTTCTTGCACAACGAGGATAAACATAAAAAGTTAGGTATGTTTATAATTGAAGTGTCTTTAGTTTTCAAACATTGTTCAGCTGTGAAAAGTCAGCTTTATGACCAGGCAACTCGTTAAATAATAACAAGAACCCAACTAGTGGGTCCGACAGGTCTTTTTAGAACTCAACTAATGGATCCGACAAGTATTTTCAGAACCCAACTAGTGGATCCGGTATTAAACACTCCTCCATAATTCCCGTAGTCGTAAGGCAACTTTCTTTACGAGTCCTCTCAACAGTGGAAGGAAAGTTTTTTGTTTATGTGTTTTTTCTTTGGCCTGGTAGGGGGTTCCGCATGTGAATATGGAAGGACGTTAACCGTAATGACCGTTATGATTAAGTATTTCTCCACTAGTGGCGCATAATGAGCTGGTACATGTCCGATTAATTAAACTTCTCTCTTAACAAGTAAAGATTTTCATTCGGCGAGTCTACCCACAACAACTAATAAATGGGCATCTAAAACAATAAAATAAAATAATTAATAACACGATACGCAGGTAAATTATGCCATTATTCGGTCGTTATCAAAATGTTCGTATTGTTTAAATACAATATAATCAGAATTTAGTTGTTTTCAAATCTATAAAAGATTAACTTAGAGATTACAACTACTGTGATTCGAAGTATTATAACACTACACAGGATTTATTGCATTTAATTAAATAGCGAAACAATAAACATGAATCCCATATCAAAAAAATAAGCAGGGGTTTCTCTAAAAATAGTCAAAAAATGGGAAATTATAATGAAACTAAAGAACCGATTTCATTATTTATGTAATTTTATCATTTTAGGGAAAATATAAAAGAAATAAAGCAAGATGAAGCGTATAAAACGTTTTTTTTCTTCCAAGTGAAACTACTATGTTGTATTTGTAACAGTTTCATAAAAAAAGGGTTTCTTCGTATTCGACAGATGGGTCGGAAAAGTAGGCGATCAAACAAACAAATGAAAAAAAGGCCAGTTTGCAGTTGAGCTTCTGGTAGGATTTTTATCTGCTTGCCAGTTAATATAAGCCGGAGGAATGATGGATTACAGTCAGGACCTAGTCGACAACAAAAAGGGAATTCAACTCAGCGAAGACATTAATCATCAGAGTGGCACTTCGTAAGACAGAGGCGCTGCCATTGGTCGGTTTGTGTTTTACAGCGCTCCCAAGTGTCAGGCTAGCTTAATTACTCGAAACTGCAAAGACGGATCATCACGAAATCGTGCAAATTTACCCAGTCACCCTTGGCCGGTTATGAACTAGGAAAATGCATTAATAGAAGAGACTGCTGTCATTTTAGTAATCTGAAGTTTGCAGAAATCTTTTTTCTCTGAAATGCTAACTTTCTCCACTAATTCCGGACCTACTTATTTATCCTCAAACCCGATGAAGGATTGATATGCAAATAGGAAGATTCTCTCGGAATATACATTTGCTCCTTTTAAACCTCCACCCTGCCTTGATTCCTTAGTCTCATTAAGTCTTTCATTTATGTCAGGCAAGCGAACGTCATTAAATAAAATGCGAAAGTCCACAAGATCTACAAGGCATTACAGGCCTGACATATCCGCCCACCTATGGACTAATGTATAGGAAAAGTTGGTACAATGCCTTTAGCAACTCCTCTTAGAAAACAAACTTTGCAATGGCTCTTTACATATCTTGTTTGACTTTCTTTAGAAGTAAATTTGAAGCAACAAGATAATATAGAAAATGCTGAATGTACTTATAAACGAGCACAACACACACACACACAAAGATTAGCAGTTGGTTGACAGTTTGGAAACACACACAGACACACTTTTCTGGTTAAGACGTGTGATTCATTGATCTATAACACCCTTAAAACAAGGACAAAGGTAGCTGGAAAATGTTGTACGGTTTTCATTAAGCTAATGATACAACAAGAGATCAATATACTGTAACTTAGTGAAGCGTGTTTAATGAAGAATATTTCAACTTGTGTTATAAAACAGTAACTTCAATTTAATATATTTCACACTGAACTGTTTCTGGATATAGAAAATATTAGTTTCGCAAATTAAATGTTATATACATATACATACATCTGTTTGTATCAAAACCCGAGTTTTAGCGTTTTAAGTCTGCAGATTAACCGCCGAGCCACTGGGGGCATATACATATTTGAAAACTGAAAATGTTATGAAATTAGGGAAAAACCATAAAAAGGGAAAATGTTATAAAATTGGGGCGATATATGTGGAAAATGTTATCAAATTGGGGCGGCGTATATGGAAAATGTTATCAAATTGGGGCAACGTATATGGAAAATGTTATCAAATTGGGGCAAATGTTAGCAGCCAAATGGTAAAATATCATAGATATCAAGAGTTATTCCTAGTAGTTTTATTAGTTGTCTTTTGATTGTGGGAATGTTTTACATTGTTTGGGGGAAGGGGCGGGTAGTAACAACAAAGAATTCGTGCATTGCTAAACTAGTTATAAATATCTATATATATATATAGCGTTCTGTTCATGGACAGATGTGTATGAATCTCATATACTAATCTTAAGATCTTCTTGGAAACGTGCAAAACCCGTAAAATTATATTATATACATGTGTACCCAGCCACACATACATATAATCGGAGAGTTAATGTAATCTGCATAACATCGATTAAATAGCAACGTAAACGTGAAACCGTATAAAAAAGGACACAAGTTACAGAATGGTGTTGTAAAATATGCCCTTGTAGAAGGTATCCGAAGAAGTTCGTACCACACAAATGTACTGTACGACCATATTTCTAT